CTCTCTCTCTCTCTCTCTCTCTCTCTCTCTCTCTCTCCCCCCCCTCTCTCGCTTAGACAATTTCAATATTATAATGTTTTCTGAGACGTTATTGCAAAATAATTACTAGTAACCAATTATGCTGATAACAGAAATGGCACTCGACGTACAAGATTATAATATGGACGGGGAAGAAGAGTCGCAGACGAGTGAGTGGTACGGAGTACGAGAGGCTACATTGTTTCTCGTTGATGCTACGCAGAAGATGTTTGAGATAGAACCGGAGACGAAGCTCAGTCACATCCAAAAGTTTTTCAAGGCTAGTTGTAGTGTTGCATTTGTTGGTTTGGTTAACAACTTTACGTACAACTGATTGTCACTAACTATACCGGCAGTTGTACAAGCAAATCCTGAGGCAGAAGCTAGCGTGGAGTATGCAGGATTGGATGGGTGTGGTGTTATTTGGCACCGAGGGTAACGACACCAACTCGGCGTGGAAGAACATTCAGACTTTGCACGAACTCAGAGTCGTTACCCTAGACGACTTGCAGCTGGTCAGAAAACTGAGCAAGTATAATTATCATAATTAAAAGAAAACTTTGCTAGTTTTGATGCAATGCAAATTAAAGGGGGAACAAAAGTTGTGGATATTTTATTCTGTAACAATTGTCTCGAATTAAGTAGTAAATGTTTCGGCCTTAGTAAGCCTTCTTCAGTACAATTTTAAGGATGTATAGGACGTACAATCTTAGACAAAAGTGCATGAAATTGGAAATACTTCAATATCTACTCTTAACGCATAGTAAATCTAGATGTAAGAAACTTGAACGATAGTTGGAGTCTTATTTGTACTCCTACAAAGGTATTTTTCTCTTTACAAATGTTTTTTCCTGAATTATTTGCGATTTTTTTTCACTTATGAGCCTAAACTTTTGATAGTGAAAATACTCTGATTTCAATTCTTAATAACGTCAAATATTTTCAAAACTAAAAATTCGAGCCGACAGCACGAATATCTCAAGTTATATTTTATTATATTTTATTTCTTTAAAATGGTGCAGTAAAGACTATTGAAACTTGGTAGATATTTTCACCTATTCATATACTAGATGTATAAAAAAATTCAAAACACTGGTACTATTTGTTCTACATTTTTTTAGCTGTTTTATCCGTGAAGATCGGCTTTTCCCATAAGAGTACGTGTAAAATCAGTGTAAATTAAAATAGTTATATCTCAGCAACCGTTTAGTGGATGCATTTTTACTTTTCTCCAATAAATTAGGAAGACTAAAAGAACAATTTCACAAATTTTTAGCGACTTTGTACTATTTTGAAGATAGGTCCGATACATCCTTAAATTTCACATTGATCTTCAACAAGACCATGATACAATAATTAAGATTTTATCGTAAAGCATGAAAGTACAGATAAAAAGTTATCATAACAAGGCTTTAATAAGCCTTCTTCAGTACAATTTTTAATTTTATACTGATATTTAACAAGACAGTGATAAAATAATTAAGATTTTATCGTAATACATAAAAGTAAAAATAAAAAGTTATATTGAGAGAAATAACTTAGCATTAAGTAAATAAATTGAAATACAAGCGTTAAATTAAAAGCGTAAATATGAACACACATAAATCAGAGGCTTTAGCTAATATATATTTCATAAGAAATGAGTACAATAGTTTGTGTATACGAATCTAATTGTAAGTATTGTTCTGCAAAAGTTGAGTTGTAATGAAGAATTGTAAATTGAAACCAATTGTTTAAGAGATAGAAATTAATTATTAATGTTCACTTGATCAATTCCAATCAATGGTGAGTATAACACGGTGAAAGAGCGCAAGCTGACGATTCCCTAACGATTTTCACAGTTAAGAGCGGCATGAAGGGTTACCAGAGCATAAAATCCGACGACGCTTATCCACTTGATGATGCACTGACATACACCAAGGACATTTTCGGAAAGATAAAAACTGTCCTCACCAAGCGCAGGATAGTTCTGATCACTTGTCACAGTTCTAAACTCCCAGACGACGAGAAACATCGCATCCGATCGAAGGCGGCATCCTTGAAAGACGTGGATATTAAACTGCACGTGATCGGTTTAGGAAAGGATTGGACGCACGATCAGTTCTACAAAGATTTGGAGATGCTGTCGAGGAAAACGGACGTGGGTGTCTACAGAATGACATCGCTGATGGACCTAGTGCAACAGATTAAAGCGCCGTCGAAAAATATCGCGCGATTATGCTTCCAGATGTACGATGGCCTGGAGATTGATTTGGTCGTGCGTACTCTGGGCAGGTGGGTCCTCGCGTCAGCGAGAATAATATTAATTTCCGCAACATCGTCGCCGGGTATTTGTAAGCGACAATGCAAGCGTCACTTTTTACAGAAAGCGTAGATGCTTGCGAACCAAGCCGCTGAGCAAAGCGACCAATCAAGTTTTGTCGAGATCGACGTATTTCAAGAGCGAGGATCTCTTCAACGAGGTATATTTTCTCGCATAACGTAATCGAAAGTTTTAAAATACACGCGTCGGACGCCTTGGAGTTTTTCTTTATCTCTCATGTCTGAATTTTGCTTGATTTATTGTAGGAGAACAGCGACAGCGAGGAACTTGATTTACCTTTCGTGATACCGGAGGAAGTTAACTTAGAAAGTAAAGAGTTAATCGGCGGTACGAAGCTGCGTTTCACACAAACGGAGCTCTACCGGTTAAAGCATACGCATCCACCGGGCATCAAGATAATCGGCGTGAGGCCTATACCCGACGATCTTTTCAGATACCACGTTAAACGGAAGTACTTTCTCAGGGCGGATTACAGTAGCACTCGTAAAGGTAATGCGATATGAAGTATATACGATTTTGTTTTAACGCAGGAAATCTATGCGTGATATCGCAATGTTTAATTACTACAAAAGTAATATGGTCTTTGTTTTTTTCTCGCAGACAATCTGTTGTTCTTCGGCGCTTTATTAAATAAATGCGCCGCTAAAGGGAAAATGGTAGTGTGCACTTTTACGCTTCGGATGAACACTCAGACTAATCTCTGCTACATGATTCCGAATGCTGACCTGGGTGGCTTTTATCTATCGAAAGTAGCGTACCAAGGTATATCTACCTATACTTTGCGGAAGAACGCTATTAAAGAGAAATATTCCTTACTTAACGAGTTTAATTTTGTATCAGGGAATATAGGAGACAAGAGCGAAGCGTTGATACATTATGACACCCAAAATCGTGTAACCGACGAACAAGTTGCTCTGTGGAAGAAAACGATTGACCAACTCGACATGGACTACCATCCATATAAGTTCAAATCCTATAAATTGGAGTGTCAGATACAAATAGTGGAGAAGTTAGCTTTGGACAAAGAACCCGGGCCTTCGCCGATTGACTCCATCGAGCAATCATGTGAGCAACATCAATTACAGTAACAATTCGAGAGAGAGAGAGAGAGAGAGAGAGGGGGGGGGGAAGAGACATATGTATACAGAGGACAAAAATCTTACTACTTTGACAGGAGAGAATGAATTTATATCGAGTTTATACCAAATTCTTTTTCAGTTTTGAGAACCTACAAGAAAACAACCGATTTAACGCCTGAGTTTAAGAACATGTATCCTGATACAAGCAAGTCTGACGGTCCGACAAAAGCAAAAAGGGTTAGAAAAACCAAGGAAACATAATTATTCAACAATTGTGTGTAAATGCGTAATACAGAATATATAATGTTGCGCGGTAAAAATATTTTTGATAATATATAGAATAAGTCTCATTTTATTGAACTTTGTATTATAAAGAGGAACTTGTAAGAAATTACTAGGTGCTACTTGCTAAATATGTTAGGTGTACGAATAAGTTTCCGCCGTTTTTTTTTATCAAAAATTGGGCATTTATTTTGAAAGAACGGAACCTAATGTTTTATTCGAAGTATTGTCCATCGCTTGCCACTACTTTTTCCCCCATCTTTCTGGCAGCATACGGATACCGCGTCGGAAGAATGCTTCAGCTTTTGAGGCTATCCACGAATCGACCCAATTTTTGGTATCTTCATGTGATGTGAAGTGTTGCTCAGACAGGCCATGCGCCGTCGATCGAAACAAGTGGAAATCAGAAGGAGCAATAGGTGCGTTCGGGGAGCGCGCTTTCAGCGCTAAAAGCGTCTTCTATCTTTGTTCGACGTACAGTGAGTGACGAAGATAGACTGACGTTTTCAGCGCTAATAGCGTCTCCCCGAACGCAGCCAATGTCTGGTGAATACGGCGGGTGGGTTAAGGCCCGGTCTACAATGAGTCGTTAGTCGTTGGTCAGAAGTCGCAACTATATGTTGATCCTTTTCCTTTCTGGGTGGAAGAAGCAGGACCGACATATAGTTCCGACTTCTGACTAACAATTACTCATTGTAGACCGGGCCTAAAACTTCTCAATTGAGTGTTTCCAAATAGGTTTTGACCGGCGCCGCAACATGTGGACGAGCATTATCATGCAGGAGAATAACTTTGTCGTGTCTGGAGTAGTAGTGGGCGCGCTTTTCCTTGAGTGCTCGACTCAATCTCATCAATTGTGTTCGGTAGACAGCCCCAGTAATGGTTTCGTTCGGTTTGAGCTACTCATAATACACGACATCAAGCTGATCCCGCCAAATACACGACAAGAGTTTTTTCCCATGAATATTTGGCTTAGCTGTAGATGTTGAAGCATGGCCAGGTGGTCCCCTATGATTTCTTCCTTTTTGGATTATCATAGTGGATCCATCTCCAGTGACTATACGGTGCAGAAAACCCTTTCGTTTATGCCTGGCAAGCAGCGTTTCACATGTGAAAAATCGGCGTTCAACGTTTCTCGGCGTCAGTTCATATGGAACCCAATTTCCTTGTTTTTGAATCATTCCCAATGATTTCAACCGATGTGAAATTGCTTGTTGAGTCACTCCTAATGTAAGTGCAAGTTCTTCTTGCGTTTGGCACGAATCTTGATCCAATAATGCTTCCAATTCCGCGTCTTCGTACACTTTCGGCCTTCCGCTACGTTCTTTGTCTTCGATGCCAAATTCACCGTTCTTAAACTTTTGAAACCACTCACGACAACTTCTCTTAAGGCAGCCGCACCATATGTTTCTACAAGCAATCGATACGCCTCTGCTGCAGATTTCTTCAAATTGAAGAAGTAAATCAACAGTTCCCGCAAATGACGCTTATTCGGCTCAAAACTCGACATTTTCGCACACAAAAGAATATACTGATAAAAAATCACTAATATTTTAAAGTTAGGTTGTTGACTGATGTCCAACCTTACGATAATGACGTTTTACATCTGACAATTTTAACCATAACTTACTGGTGGCGCCGACCTTTTCAAACGGCGGAAACTTATTTGTATGTACACCTAATACATTACCGTTACAGTAACAAAAGAAAAAGTAACGTCGTTACCAGTCTGTTACCAAAAAAAAGTAACGGTAACGCGTTACTTCCATATCCTGAATTGTCTGCTTTATTTACACATTTCAGCACTTTACGATCGAATACTTTTAAATATCTTGTATATACTTTTAAATGCTGTGCCACATTTTGTGTTAACAGTTGAAATGTAAAATTAATATAATAGAAAATAAAGAAGGGAATCAGTCGCTTTGTATTGGTTAAAGAAATCTTTTTGTGGCCGATGTACAGAGTCATTGCCTTCCCTATATTCTGCAATATACTTTACGCTTCAACTTAAACTTATTAACAAACGCCATCTCTTTGATAATTCATATTCGTTTTCTTAACAATCGGTTAAAAAATTTTTCAGAATTAATGTAAATTACGGCACACATTGCATTGTATACAAAAATTGTTTATTTTAAAAAATTTTGTAGATAGTTTATGATTATTGTTTCGGTTATATATAATGTAAAGTCACTTAGTAAATATATAAATTGTATACAGTGTACACAGTTTCTTATTTCAGCCTAATTATATCTTTATCTCTTATAATCTCATTAAAAGTAGAAAGTTTTGTATTTTCAGATCACGCACGCAGTACGTATAGTCTAAAAGTCTAGTCACAGTATAATCTAGAATTCTAGATTGTGACATTAAAACATTTGATATGCAATCTATGTATAAATTATATAAGTATGATCAAGTCAAGGTCAAAACCATCGTCTAAATGTCGATAGTATAGAAGATGGAAACAAAAGTATCGTGATATCGTATAGAGGTGAGAATATGACAATGTCATGAAAATCTGTACGGATACAAATCAGATTTATTTCCTGAAAAATTGGACAAGAAAATTTTTATAAAACGTACAACTTATTGAACCTTTTGCAAGTCGTCACACCATGTTATTTCCATGAAATGCATATAAATTACCGCAATCAGAATATTTACAATTATTCACAATGTGCATTTCTACTACCATTCGTTCCTCTACTTGAATACATGGAAATTCACAAGTCTTACTGATCACACACTTTTATCATTGTATTTGCATTTTGTATAAACTTGCTATTTACTTTGGCTTGGTCTCCTGATCGTTGACGTATCTTATGTAAATTTCTCGCTCGTCACTGCCGCCCGGCGGAATTTCGGCCTCGTTTAAATACGAAACACCTATTGCGAGGACGGAACCATCGTGGCTAAAACTGAGCGCGGCCACGCCAGCGTTGTACCGGTGAAACTGGCACAGTCGTTTCTTATTAAAGCCATCCCAGATATTCACGTAACCATCCGAGCCGCCGGTCGCGAACGTATTATACGCGGAGTGGAAGCTAATAGCGTTCACTGGATAAATATGCTCGACATTATTTTCCTTTATTCTGTGACACTTGAACGCGTACTTCTTCTTCTGGGCTTCCGGCATTGTGTCGAGATACTCGACGGCGACTCGACCCTCTATGCTACTCAATACATATCCCTGAACCAAATAAAAAAAATATATATATAAGGAATGCAAATACCATATGCTCAACATGTGCAACATCAGCTGAACAGTGCAAATAAATGGTGCAAAAGGGTATACGCACCTGTTCATTAGGGAAACCTTTGATGCAGCGCGTTTGGTACTTTAAACTACTTTCTCGTCTCTGGAACATCCCTGCCATGTTTCTTAAATCCCAAATGCAAACTTTTCGTTTCGCTGTGCCCACCACGAATTTATCGCCGCACACGGACAGGGCAAGTACCACGTCAGGTTGCAAGTAACTACCGACGCAAGTAGGCGTTCGTGGATCCCAAAGTTTCACTGCGGCGTCCCAACCACCAGTTAATATTGCATTTACCGCTCCGCAATACTCTATCTTTCTGATTGGCTTCTCGTGTGTGCCCATTATCGATTCTACAGACAAATATACATTTGAGATAAAAGTATTAAGTGGAATAATAAAATTGAAGAATTTAGTAATACCTGTATTGCTATTTATGTCATACATTTTTAAGGTATTTCCTAAACCACCGCTGTATGCATGAACAGCGTCCTGTAAATAATTTTGTGACCAAGAGAATGATCAGTTATTAGAAGAAAACAATGGAAGCTTTTGGAAGTTAGATAATACAATAATAGAGCAGGCAAAAGATTCTTCTTCCATTCTGTAATCCTGCATGATAAAAAAATTTCAATATTTACTACGACAAAAATCAATACAAGTGAAATTGTAGTGATTTATGGTGATGCATGTTGTTAAAATGTTTTCAGATGATTGACTCTATCTCTTCTTAGATAATAAGATAGAAGAAGATAGAGAGTTTGACTGAACTCTGGCCAACGGTTAACAGACTTTTGTAAAACTGGCCTTAAGCGAGGCAAAAGAGATTGGCAGTTACCTGAAACGCGACGTCCAGTACCGGTAGGTCGTGATTGTACTTGAGCCTCATCGTGTTGGCGTGTATGTCGTACAGTCTGACTGTACTGTCCCACGACGATACTAATAGGAACTGCGTGGAGTTTGGTCCAAATTCGACCGCGGAGATTGCGTCGGTCGGCGGCGACTTTATCTTAAATTCAGTCCTGGACTCCATTCTGCGAAAAAGTGAGCGTGAGGCTCGGGCGAGCTCGAACGAGCTTTGACTAAAGCTTGGGTATCCGAAGAGTCGCAGTAGTGACACGAACGACAGGAAACCATCTAGTTATTCGGCAGCAATAGGTCGGCGCTAACAGCGAGTACGAGTCACGAATCCTCATAAACACAAAATATAACCTAAAATCCACGACAAGCGTGCGCTCAATGGAAAATTTCTCATATACTTACTTGATACAAAACAGCTGAGCAATACAGTTAAAAAGGGGAACTTCTGATGCTCGTATGTAATACGAACGTTCACGATTACCGGATCCTCGGAGTAATTAAAAAAAAGGAGTTTGAAACACCACGGTTACCGCGGTCGAGGCCCTACCACAATATAACCCAGTATAACCACAGACCCACAGTGCCTGCGTTCGTTTTCTCCATAGACCATAGAACTTATAAACATGGAAGGGGAAACGGATCGGCACAAGTGAAGCCACAGTATAACCAGTATGCCCA